GTCCCTACAGACCGTAATCCAGTTAACTGCTCCAGTTGGCTCCATAGGCAAAGTGCGGTTAATGGCCCCAGTGTTGAAGGACCCTAGACATTCTTTGAACTCTGTGAATGCCACCACCGGGTAGCTGGTCACCCACAGACTCGTCATGTTTCGCTGCAGCATACTGGAGTAAATAAACGGTGGAAAAGATGCCTGAAGAAGATGCATAGTTCTTATCTGTGGTCCTCAGGAGTCAGCAAGTGATCCCTTCAGATGTGCTAGAAAATTTTGAATCGGCGGTGGTTATTTGGCAAAAAGTCAGACTTTTTAAAGTCACTGATGACATTTTGCGGTTCTAGCAGCAGAGAACATACCCAAAGTATGAACTGCAATATTTACATCACAAGTCACAATCCTAGTGGTTCCTACAGTTAAAAGAAGGTGGAAACATGCCACAGGGATGCATTTGACAACGTGGTAAGATTTCATGCTGAGACAATGCTGGACAGTGACAGAAAGGACAACAAATCTTTCCATGTTTTTGTCTGTTTTTTTAATTTTCTTCTGGACCAGCTACATTTTTTCACTTTTCCTGTGCGTATTTTTGGAGAATTTGTATTAGTGAGTAGTTCTGCTTGCTGTTAAGAAAGACGTTTTGGGAATGTAAAGACGTAGCCAGACTTTCATTGTCATTGGAATATCAGAACAATCACTAAAATTATCAAAATTGAACTCTCCAGTGGTTTCTGTCTCAAGGCTGCCATGTTGAACATGCGGTAGTGTTATGGACACACATGCGTGGTACCCACGCTCCTTTGCAAATGCAACTCCTAGCATTCCTTATAGCCCGCAAGTCGCGCGTAATTTGTTTTGCCCTTGCAGCATGTGCAGTGCTTGCGGTGGCCATCATTGACCCTTTTGATGTCTGTACGTGCTTACTCCTTGTGTATAATAACTCCATGGTCTTACAAAAGTGTGGCAACTGTCCGCGCTCTTTTTTGTTAATGCTTTGCCATGGTTGCCTTTTCCAACTGAGCCCCATGTAATCGAAGGAAAAGGCAGACTTGGCAAGTATTTGTCAATATTTCACCATTTATCTGCTTGTGCTCTCTGTTCCAAAACGTTTCGATGTAAGATGAAAATATTTGGATACTTAAGTCATGGAGAGGTCTTCCACCTCTAGGTCCGGATGTGACCGTGATGATGGACATGTCACTATTCAGATGGGGGCCTTTCTTCCTCCACTCCATGCCTCCGGGGTCTGGGACACCGCCTCTCGAGACAAACACATCAACAGGTTAGACCTCCAAGCGGTGTTCAACGCTCTTCGCCACTTCCAACAACACCTAGTAGGTTGTTCTGTTCGAGTACTGAGTGATGACTCTATGGTAATGGTGTACATCAACCGCCGGGGTGGCACTCGCTTTCAACCCTGTGCGCTTGCATAGTAGTTCTTCATGTGGCCATATGATCAAGGAATCACCCTCCAAGCCGTCCACATAGCGGGAACCAGCAGACCCACTGTCCACCAACAGGGTGGATTCTTCACCCGAACGTGGTCAGACAGATTTTGCAGAGATTGAGCATACCCATATCAACTTCTTCTCTTCCGCCGACAAAACCCATCTCCCAAAGTTCTGCTCCAGGTTCCCTCACCCACGGGCAGATCAGATCAACAGAGAGATCAACTGGTCGGACCTTCTGGCGTATGTCTTTCCTCCTGTAAAATGAGGGCCATGTCGGATCCTCCTCATCTCTCTGTTCTGGCCTTGCCAACTGTGGTTTCCAAGACTGACAAGACTCCTGGTATGACGGCTGCTGGTCTTTCCAGTCAGGGACAACATCCTTTGTCAACCCAAGTGAGGGATCCGGCACTGAAGGGTCTTCACTTGACGTGCTGGATGTTGTCCAATGATCCTTCAGGGCATCAGGCCTTTCTGTAGATAATGCATCCATAGCGGCCGGGGTTGACGACTGTCCACTCCCAAAATTTACAACAGCCATCTAACAACATTTTACTAGGTGGTGCAAAAAATCAGACGCCTACCTTCCAACCTCCCAACATATTAATTGCAGTTTAATATATCTGTTTGGTAGCTGCACAACATAAATGTTTCTTTATTATTATTATTTATTATACCACAATATCATGGGTTGATTTTTGAGTTGCTTCATTTGCTTTGATGAGCTCATTTATTGCTAGAAGATGGTTTCCCTGAGTTTGCAGTGATTTTGCTTTTGGACAAAATATTTCAGACAAACAGATTGACAAGTGAGTTTTGCTTGGGTCATTCATACAAACTTTGTAACACTAGACAGAAGACAAAGTTATGGCCATGCAGCTTGGTGTATTGTGTTACATGTGATCTGTTAATCTGCACAAACGCTCAATCTTTGAGTGCTTAATATGCCTCCATTTCTCATCAGCTGATTTCCTTCTCTTTGAAAGTTTTATTTGTGGTTTAATAAAAAAAAGAATATGTGAAGTTGGTGATTTCATATAGCATGAACTAATAACAAAATGCCGATTGCCGGACTATGCCCAATGTGCGTATACATAGTACATTGACCTCATTGTGTATGACTACCTCAGGGTGAAAAAAATTCTTGTACCAACCTTTCCTTTTTGGCGGAGGAACACTGCCAAATTCAACAACATGCACATCAGAGAATTCCATAAAATAAATAACATACTTGTGTCTTTTCATATATGTTCATATTCAAATGCCTACCGTACATGTCGTACAGATTAAAAAAATTCAGACATATTGTGGGTGTCAGTATCATAAAGCTTGCCGGCTCAGCCAGTTACATGATGACCAACATAGAGATACTGAACAGGATTCAGACACAATGACCAGTAGGTCACTGCATGAACATACTTAATCTATACATATTGTGACAAAACAGGGGATAGGCATGGATGCCAGTCTAATTCATAAAGTATTAATGTATGTTTGAACCAATCAGTGGTGTTAAGAGCGCAGGGTCTGGGCGCTTGTGGCTTGTTAGTTAACTGGAAGGTCGTGTTGTGGTAGCATTATATTGTCGTATTTGTCAATTTTACTTTTCATCATGAGTTTCTAACTATTGTATTAATTTATGTTTGCATGGCCCCAATGGAAACCAGTTTTGAAACTGGTAAAGAAATGGAATAAACGTATTGAAAAATATTGATGGACTGTATTTTATTAACCTTTATAAAGACACTTGATATTTAATTTTAATACCTTACAACAATGACTGCCCTAACTACATTTGATACAAACTAAATAAGGCCATGATGTTAATCCTCAGTTAAGTCTTCTTAATTCTTAAAAAAAAAAGTAACAAATAACAAATGAAACATACTTCTGGACATCCTGAAAACACTCCTGTAATCATCAAATTGTAGGCTTACACAGCATCATCTGTAAAGAACAGAATCCTTGGCTTGAACACCCAATGCTGTCCTTGTAGCATCAGTGCTTTGGGCAAAAGTGTGTTCCCTTGCATGAGTACAAGACTGAAACATGACTAAAGGTCAAGACCTCTTTTCCATTTAAAATCCTAGTTCCTGGCAGTGTCTCATTGAGCCACCTTGTCACCTGTAATATGAGGACAGGCAAAACTTCACAGCTTTTGCTTTTACTGAGTTTATAAACCCCAATTTATTTCACAAATCTTTCATGCTGGTGAAAAAATCTTTCGGCACTCGGCACAGTGGACATACAATATATGGGCTGAGATCATGATGTATAAATCTATAATGCCCAAAATGACAAACGACTTGACCTTTCAAGGGGTTGTTGAGAGTAGACATGCAGTTTTAACATTGCTAGAGAACAAGAAACATTAGGAATATAAAGTCTTTTTACAGAGCACTAAAAATTCCACTTAAATTAGAAACCAATAGCAAACACAATTTAATGGGGTTTTCTGAAGAAAAATTGAACAAAGCCAGAAAACCTGAGAGAAAATTATCATCAAAGTCGCACCCGTGTACATTTTCAATGGCCCACTCACATGCGGAATTTGGGGGATTTTACAGTATATTCTGTGTTCTAATGGAAAGAGTAATAGTTGAAGATTAATTTTATGCCTAATTGATGAATATACATGTTAAATGAATGAATGAATGAATGAAAATTCTTCTGTGAATAGTAATTTCATCAAGTAAAACCTTATGGGTGTGACTTATTTACCAAGTGTATGATCAGCTGCGTGTATAGCGCTATTCAAGAGGGCCAGATTTTGGTTTTCACATTGTTGTCAGACTTCAATTGAATGATTATTGTTGAGTTCTGAAATTTGTCCGATTAGTAAATTCCTTGAGTGGATTTGTCTGTCCTCAGGAAAATCTTACACTCTTGCTCAACTTATCTATTCACTTGGTCACATGTTTTGACAGCAAACTTTTGTTGTAGATCTTGAAATACTAAATCGGTAAGGCAGAACTCTGGAGGTTTTGGGCCTATAAATTTTTTGTCTGGTGGCATCACTATCGTTGGAGGTGGCGGTAACAGGTCAGCTTAAACAAAGTGATCTCCTCCTCCCTTCCTTTGGTCGAGTCCTAACATGCATCTGAGACAACACCCCCTCCGCTTTTTCCGCCATGCACACAATGCACACACACTATTTTCAGATGTAGTTTTGCGTATATATATATATACGTTGGGTAAGGGCGAAACCCGTTATGTAAATTAACATCTCCCCAACGCAAAAATACGTCCCGAAAATAGTTTGCGGTACCCACTGCTTCACCTGACTCGGAACAGCCAGCAAACCCTGGCAAGCTCGGTGGTCGAGTGGTCAAGACGCCTTCACTAGTAAGCAGGAGGTTGTGGGTTCGAGTCCCACCCGAGCATGCTTGTGAATTTTTTCGCAATCCCTCAGACAAGCACTGAGCATACAGTGCTTATCAATATATATGTTAGGTAAGGGCAAAACTTGTTATATAAATTAACATCTCCCCAATGCAAAAAAATACATCTTGAAAAAAGTACATAAGATGAACTTGTGTGTGTATGTGTATTTCACAGGTGCGCCGGCAGGATCCAGCTATCCTGACCGCTCTTACAACCTGCACCAACCTGATACAGTTTGAGTTTGGTTGTGACATGACTGGTCCCCTCTGGAAGCGTAGCCTGTGTATCCTGGGTGATTACCTGCTACTGTGGAGCCAGTCTGCGTGGCTCTGGATTCTTTGTGGCAATGCTGCCACCTTGCTTGACAAGAAGATTGTAACAGAGTAAGTATACATGAAGAGATATAATCTACTTTCAAAAACCAATTACATGGAGTTGGATAGCATCACCATCATATTTGACTAGTTACGATTTGTTTGTAAAGCCATGTCACGCACACTGGACTTTTTGTCAAGATTTTTACTGAGCTGATGGTAAAATAAAAAAATGGTCAAATGCGACCACTGTCCATACTTGGATTTCGACACCAGAAAATTCAAAACTTTTACTTCACCATATACTGACTAGAACCACATGCAAAAATCATTTGTAGGTGGTTCTGTTCAGTGTATAGTGAAGCAGAGTAGCAAAACTGTATGTTTGAGCCTTGTGAAAACAGTCCTTATATGGTTTGCACTTGGATGAATGTAGTGAAAAGTTTGCACACCATGTATACTGGTGTCCATCCATATATATCTATCTAATTTAATTATATTTTTCCATACTTCTGAATCAAAACTGCTACCAGAAAAAATTATCCAAAATTATAACACTCGATAAATTAAAAAAAATATCAAAATGATATCAAGTCAACAATACCCCATTTGTCTAATCTGGTTCTAAAACTTGCCGTGTAATGAAATACAATGCTGCTGCCAGTTTATGCCCATGTCATCATCGTGTTCTTTGTCTCCTGTGCCCATACCCATCTCAAATACAATTTTAACCTCAGGTCTCTGTATTACATTTCCTATTCTAGCTTCATTGGCAATGGTAGTTGTAGGTACATGTATGTGTAAGACATGTACTTCTGCAAATACATTCTTAATCAAAGTAACCTTTAAATAATCAACACACTGCTCCAGACAATGTGAAGTCTAACATATTTTCCTAATAGTAAGATTTGAAGCTTTCCATGATGGAAGAGACATGAGAAATAGGTTTGCGAGTAGACCATGGAATCAATCTCTTTTTGGTCAGATGTGGTTCTTAAAAGAACCGGTGAGTGTTAACTTGATGTTTCGGCCAGTGTGCTCTAGCTGTCCTCAAAAAGGATTGATTCCATTGTGTACCTGCAAACCTATTTCTCATTTCCTAATAGTGCTCCACCTGGTAGATATGCACAAAAGATTCTGCTGTAATTGCCTAAAACCAATCCATTTTTCACAAAAGACAAGAGTGGAACACAGCCATCGGTGTTGTACCTGAGACTTTGATGTCCAAAGACTGAGACCAAGGCATTTGAGACAAAGACCGAGGCCCACTCTTTCAAGACAAAGGTGTTGATACCAAGACTTTTGCAGGTTGAGACCGAGACCTAGACCTGGACTCTCCAGATTGAGACCGAGACCAAGACTAAAAATAAAAATCCTCCTTTACACATACATGTGGGATGAGTCTACTAAAAATTACCTATCCAAACAGTCAACGTAATATTCAAATTTCCCATGGACCTGTTATTATTCACTGAAAAGACTTGATCATCCATAGTGCACCCTAATCTCCCTCAATGCATCGCAGTCACGCCACCATATTTCTCCTTCTTTTTGAAAGAGACTCAGGTCAGAGCCAGAGTGGGGAGGACGGGCGAGTGAGGACAGTTTGGGTCTATAGGTATTCTCTAGCAGGTTCATCCCACACATGTGGGGGGATCCATTGCATTCAACCTACCCCCAAAAGTCAATACAATATGCAGAATGGCATCAGCCTTACGTGGGGAGTTGCCTATAACACATGCACTAGAAACAATAAGCATTAAATTCATGAATCGCAAATGATAACAAAATTGTTTACCAGAGTAAGTCAAAGACCAGACTCATTATATCTACATCTTCAGGATGACTTGCCATCTGCCCGGTCTGCAGGAGGTCCCCTTGACCTATTTGCTGCTGACAGTAGGATCATCTTGCCATATGCGGAGAAGTTCTGCAGGATATGCTTCAGATAGCAAGTGGTGGGGGGTAGAGGGAGACTTCTAACATGCAGCATTGCAGATGTCTGCTATGAAAACTCCCTGAAAATTCTGAAAATTAGATTGAGATGTAAATACTGCTCTTACATCAAGGGCCCTGATGTAGCCTTGACTTTGTTCATCAGGGCATGATGGCCAGTCTGGGTTGGCAAATTTGATGGCCAGGAATGTCCAGCGGGCGATGATGTCTCTTGCCGCTTGGCAACAGTAGCAATAAATAGATGGGTGACAGTCCCTCTCTAGTTCTTGGTCTTTGTACATTATCACTTCACTACACAGACCGAGCACCGAATTGTCGGTGTTGCCTCCAGTGTATGAGATAATCGAGAACACAAAAATATCTGGTTGCTCAAACCTGCTCTTCATCAGAAAGCCACGATGGTCGGGATGAGGTAGATATCATGTGGTTCCCAGCAAATGTGACCGTCAGCAACAGAGAGGGCTGGCAGTTCACTGCCTCTTCTGGAAGTAGCCACAGCCAGGAAGAAGGCTAACTTAATGCTGGCGTGTATTAGGGAGGCGTCACTGAGGAGCTCAAAAGGGGGTTGGGCAGTAAGCTTAAGACTTTGCTTAGGTCCAAGGACACATGACTCGCCTATGATGAAGGGCCATGTTGTCGGAGATGGAAGAGCCGTCTTCAAAACCAATATGTATGGGGGCCATGGCTGATGTAGTTGGGGATTGTGGAGACTCGTAGACCTGATTGAAAGGGGTATATGCAGAAATCCACTATAGCGCTTAAACGAACAACGGTTGGAGTCACAGACTATTTGTTGCACCACGTAGCGAACTGCCATATTCTGCTGTCGTAAACGTTGCTGATGGTAAGTGTCGTCCCTTTGCAGCCGTGGCTGCAGTGACAGTTGAAAGTCCTGCTGAGCAGAAGGATCATTGGAAGATGTCCAACAGGTTAAATGTAGGTCTTTGGGTGCCAGACACAGGATCCCCGACTTGGGCTGTAGGAGGATGTCCGGCCTGTTCAGGAGGATAAATGTTGGTGAACCAGAAGCTTGGTTAGCTTGGGGAACCAGGGCTGGCGTGACCGGAATGGGGTAGTTAGAGCGCAAACGCTGCCGGATATTACTATCTTGGAAAGGACCAGAGGGATCAGTGAGATAGATGGGAAGGCGTACACTAGTAGGTCGGTCCATTGATCTGAAGAGGATATGCTGCCTCTCGTGCAAAACATCGGGTGTTGGTCATTGTCCACTGATGTGAAGAGATCAATGGTGAGGTCTCTCTATCACCAAGAAGAGTGCTCCGACTATGCCAGGGTGCAGAGATTCCAACTCTGGGTGGCTTTTGCCGCCGGAGAGCGTATCTGCTACCGTTGACCCAGTGATGTTGGATCGCATAGTCTTTTGTACATTGTAGGATGAGTAACTGGGGGAATACATTCTACGTGAGGCCTTGATGGTTGAAATAGAGCCTGAAAGTAAAAGCTCACGTAGCGGAGCTTCCGGAAACCTCCGCCTGTGGGGATTTTACATGGAGTCCAATCACATTTGATCATTTTGGGAAGAATGATTCCCAACTGAAACATTAATGTCGGAATTTTACCTTTGCGTTCCTCAAGTAATACCCCAAAAAGTCACCTGGAGATGGTAAAAAAAAAAAAACACAAAATTCATTAACGACCTTTCACTTCTGGCAATATATTTTTCCTACATGTAGGTCTCGTTGTTCATGCATGTTTGTTTTCAATTCATGTGGTACGTGAAAACGAGATTGTACTATGTTTAAAGATTTACCTGCAGTTGATGGGTTCTAGATTAAGGCGAGTTGATGTGACTTGTCAGTAACAGAGTAGAAATTTGTATAAACACAAATTATTCCTTTATGTTTTTTTTTTTTTAATTGTAACAAATTTAAAATATTTTACTCTCTTTTACCGAAATAGTACTATGTAATCTAATTTTGTACGAGACCACAAAATTGCACTGGTCTTCATGTATTTCACTTTTTTGGGGGGGTTTACATTGAGAGGTCACATTTTGGCAGGCTATTTCTCTTTAAGGTCAGGTAATTTTCAGTTTCTGTAAATTAATATGCGAGCAAATATTTTACAAAGGCCGTTTTCCGAGGTGATTTTTGTTATGAAGAAGTATACGAACGGAGGAAGAGTTCTCAAATGGAAGAGCTCGGAATTGTATGTCTTCAAGCTTCCCTTTGTAATTGTAGCGTGGAGATAGGCATCCTGGAGATCAATTGACGAGGCCCAGGATGGGACAGATAAAGGGCGTATTGCTGTCAGTATGGTCACCATGTGAAATTTCTTGGGGTGGACGAATCTGTTCAGTGGTTTGAAATTGATGATGGGACGTCACTTGCCTGGTCCCTTTTTGGGTGTGAGGAAGAATGTTGACAGGAAACTGCCCTTCAGTTTGCTGGATTGAACTTGGGTGTGTGCAGGCGTGGCATACATAGTGTAGACCTATGTACAAAAAAAACGCAAGTCCACGTAATGTAGGGTGCGACGGTGTAGTGTGAACTTGCACACGTCCACACTATGTTTCCCCCTCTCTGAAAAACAATTTTAGAGGCATTTTGGGGTCAAGGTTATCTGTGGCAAAAGGAAGATGAACAGTCCAGGAAATCATCATCACATATCCAGCTCGAAGGAGTTATCCTAGTTAGAGAAAAAGCAGCATTTTCCTCAAGTTTCCTTAACCACTGGAGAACAAAGGAATGTCCACACTTTGTATGTAAAACAAGTGTGCAGTTGCGTGTGTGTGTTTGTTGTTGGTTGGTTGGTTGGTTGGTTGGTTGGTTGGTTGGTTGGTTGGTTGGTTGGTTGGTTGGTTGGTTGGTTGGCTGGCTGGCTGGCTGGCTGGCTGGCTGGCTGGCTGGCAGGCAGGCTGGCTGGCTGGCTGGCTGGCTGGTTTTGTTTTTTGCTTTTTTTTTTTAGTAGTAGGGAGTCTCTAACCCCAATAGTAAGTGTTAATCGTTGTTGTGAAGGACTGGAGTCAGCTGCAGTATTGTCTCGGGCGGAGGGGTGCTTGTGAACTCGAGGGAGTATCCATGAGAGAGAGTCATGAGTACCCATCTGACGGAGGTGATCCCCTGCCAGAACTCTGCAAACTGTTGTAGACG